CACACACACACACATACAACATATATATATATATATATATATATATATACAAGCAAAAGCATACAGATCACAACTACACTACATACTGTTGGCAGCGTCTTCGCTCACAGTCCTCCTAGCACCCGTGACGGGCGAATTGGTCGCACTGGCACCAGTGCCGTTGCGTTGGTTGACTGTGTTGAGGTCGACTGTCGCCTTCATGTTGTTCCTCAGCAGCAGTCTCTCCACAGCAGTCACCCCCATCATACGCACCTATAATGGTGTATTAGTGTGTGAGTAGGTGGATATACGGTGATATACGGGTATAATAGTGTGTGTGTAGGTAGACATAAGGGTGTTTTAGTGCGTGAGTAGGTAGATATACGGTGTGAGTAGGTATATATACGTGTGCATTAGTGTATGCACGTATACACGTGTGTTGGTATGGCCTATTCTGTCTTTGTTATTGTTCCTCCGCAGACACCGCTTCACTGCCGTTGCACCCGTCATAGGTACTTGTATCAATGGTTGTGACTGAATAATAATTCGAATATAAACATATACAAATGTGTTTGTTCCACACACACACACACACACACACGCACATATGTATATGTTTATATATATGTATACATACACTACCGAAATCACTCATACAATACACACCGACACCCACCCGCTCTAGATCCCCACCTATAACACGTCACCAGATGCTACTCACATATACATACCCTCTGGTCATCGTGCCCCAGTACCTTGCTGAGCCAATTGAACAGATAGGAGTTAGACTCACATATACATACCTTCTGGTCATCGTGCCCCAGTACATTGCTGAGCCAATTGAACAGATAGGAGTGAGGTGTGACGGCCGCGTGGTCAAAGATCGTCTCATGGAACAGCGCCACCATGGCTCGGATGGAGGCGTTGCGCAGGCGATACTGGCCGATGATGTTGATGTGGTGTGCGCCGCTGCTGTTGGTGGTTTGGTAGTTGCTGTGTGGTAGTGGACAAATAGGGAGGAGAGTATGAGATAGAGGTGTAGTACAATGGTAGGTACAAATATGCATTTTAATATACATTGCGTAGATGGTACTGGCCGACGATGTCTTTATTACGTACATAAACGTAAATGTATTCACAAGATAGATGTACACGCATGCACATACAGTCGTGCCATGTACATACAATAGGTTGTTAAGTTTTTCTTCGTTGTCGCTGACTTGTCTGAGGGAGCCCTAGTCCAATACCGCTACCACACACCCAAACTATCTATGTTGCATACACACAGACACAGACACAGACACAGACAAAGACACACACGTATAAATATATATAAATAT